GCTGCACCCCCCGGCGGGCACGACGCCCTCGTGGCTGCTCTGGTTGGGCCCTGAGCAGCTGCCTGTGCTGGCTTTGGCAAGTCCCCTCTGCCAGATCCACGCTGGCCCTGACGGCCGGGCCTGCTCAGCTGCCCACTCCCCTGCACCCCACCCAGCCTCCCCCCGCTCACCTTTGTGCTTGCCCATGTCGATGAGCTGCAAGGCCACTCGGGCGGCACGCAGGGCCCCCGTGACAACGTCATCTGGGCTGCCCACGAAGGTGTAGACCGTGCGATTGGTGGACGGGCCAGCGTCCACGTCCAGCAGGACACACCCCGGTGTCTGAGCGATGGCCTGGCCGATGGCATCGATCACCTGCCCGAGAGCACAGCCAGTCAGAGCCGTGCCCGGCCCCTTCGCCTCCCCGCCACGGCAGCCCAGCACGCAGGCGGCTACGGAAGGGGCCAAGGCCAGCCGGGCAGGGCAATGCCTGAAATGCGGCACCACACTGCCTCGGGGGTCACCTGTCCCTGTGACCTTGCACCCAGAGCTGGCCTCGTTCGCTGTCGGGCGGCTGCTAACCCGTCCCCGCAGAGCGTGCAGCGCTGTCGTGCACAGGGCCAACGGGCATCCCTGAGCTGTGGAACTGGCCATAGATGAGCTCTGCTCAGGGAGCCCTGCAGTGGGAGCGTGAGGCAGAGCGGAGGGGAGGGGAGGTCCTGCACCATCCGGGCCATGCTGCGAGCGGCTGGCGAGACCCATGAGAGGTGCTCTCACCCCCTCACCCCCTGCCCAAGCAGCCTTGCTTCTGCCAGCAGCAGCTCGCAGGCAGGCGAAAAGCAAGCACACCAAGGCCTGGCACGCAGAGCTGCAGCCAGAACCCAACCCCTTACCTCTTTGTTATTGCCCTCGGAGAAGTTGGGGACACATTCCACCAGCTTGGACATGGTGCGGGTTTTTTTCCTCCCAGGCCTGGGCAGTTTGGGCTTCACGCTGACCGGCCGAGCTGCAGAAATGGAGCTACAAGGACAGGGGCCGTTTCGGGAGCCAGTGACCTTTCCCCAGCCACCAGGGTTTCTCATTAACCACCCGAAACTGCAGCCAATAGGAGACGAGTTTCTCAAACAAATAGGAGGAAGCTTTTGGCAGGAAGGCCCATCTGGCCTCTACCTTGCCGGCGTCCGTCGGACTGACAGCCCTGCTCTCCTGGATCGCTTGTACCTGGGCCACGAAGTCACGTCTTGCTCTTTTCTAACCTGCGCTCTAGTCTCTGCTGTCAGGTTCCGTTTTCGGAACCGTGGCCAATCCCGTGGAACAGCAGTTCTAAAACACCAGTAAAAATACCAACCGATGGTTTTGTTACTGCACCAGTCATCCCCCAATTCGGGGGCTACCCTGACCCTCTTTTTTTGCTGTTAAATCAACCATAAAAGAGACTTGCTTCAGTTGCCCACAATGTATTCTGAGCTCATAATCCTAGACAGAGCCAACCAAATCCTACACCAAGACATGCAAGGATGCATGTACGTACAGCAACAAAATGAATCCTCATAATAGCTTTGGTCCTTATTATGTAGAGAAGGCAGATTTTTTGTCGTTATTGATTAAAGAAGGCAAAAGTGTTTACTAAGCATTTCTCTTTGCATGTGCAGGAAAAGCAGATAATGCCGTCTGTCACGTTACTGGATTTCAAGGGGAGCAGGAGGAAAAGCAGATAAGGCCGTCTGTCACGTTACTGGATATCAAGGGGAGCAGCCAAGATCACTGCTGCACCCATGGGGGGCTGTTTGCCCCAAAAGCGTATACAAAGGTGTGTCAAACGAAAGCTTATGCTCTACCGACTCTGTATATGCCATTCGTGTACTTGTATACGTCTGTGTGGGAGTTATAAATACGTGCTCTGTGTTGGTGTTGGAAGATTCTCTGTCTGAAGCAGAGCAATGAGCAAGTCAGCAACTGTGCTAATTAGCAAGGAGACAGTGAATCTCTAGGTGCCAATACACACCTCAGGAATGTGACCGATACCTAAGGGCTACCAGCAGGGTACACAGGGACAGGCCGCTGGCCAGGTGACCTGCTGCAGCCAAGAAGATGCCAGGAGAGGGTTGTAAGTGCCACGTGGCAACCTCCATTTTGGTATCCAGATCTGCTCCTGACCCCAGAGGCAGCCTTGCAGGGAATCATGGGCCAGACGGAACTGTGGAGCCGTCCTGACATAGGATGTGCACCAGACACGTTTAAGCCAGGAGTTATAACATCTCTGCTAGAGTGCGCATCGAGAACTGGGAGAGTCGATACGTGTAATGTATGATGCTTTAACAACCTCACTCTCGTGCTTTTCTTTCTTGCAGTAATAAGCCTTCAGGCCAGGTCTACATTGGTGCGATCTTGCGCAAAAGCGGCCGCTCTTGCGCAAAAACTTGCTGCCTGTCTACACTGGCCCTGAGTTCTTGCGCAAGTACATTGACGTGCTAGGGGTGGGGAGCCCCCTTTTCTGGCAGCCCAGGGAGGGGGACACCTCAAGGGGCGGCGGCGCTATGAGCGGCGGGACACGCCTGCGCTGGGGAATCGCGGCCTGCGAGCAGGGCAGGCCCTTGGGGCCGTGGCTACAGCTCAGCAGCACTGTGCTTGGAGCCGCCACACTCCCACTCACACTGGCAAAGGGGCCCTCGCAAAGCTGGGGGGCTGCTCCGGCAGCTGGGGGGCTGGGGCCAGCAGCACCAGGAGCTCTGGGTACTGCCCCCGGGAGGTGCAACCACCCCCGTGCCCTCCAGGTGTGGGTAAGTGTCGCCTTCGGTGCTCACAAGCCAAGGGGAGCCAGGCCGCACATTGCCCAGGCTGGGCAGCACGGCCCAGCATCACACCACTTGA